ATGAATTCAGATGAATTCACTTCGTCTAGTACTGATAGTAGCTACTCCTCTGCTTTTCAGAAGGAGGCTCAGTCCTTCAGGGCTTCACACTACCCACTTGAATAATACCTCCCTTGCAAGTGAATACAATAAAACTTACTCTTTAACTGGTACTTATTAAGATTTTCACAGCATTCATTAAACTGCTTTCCCAAGGCTATCTCATTCCACTCCACCCCAAAACACCAACTTTCTGAACTCTCATTTTCTCTGAAGGCTCAATCCTTTAGAACCCAAGAAATCATTCAATTCAAATGCAACAGTTTTCAGCTGAGGACTGATGCAATGAGAGGTTAAGTGGCTCATTCCCACTTATTGGTGGCAGATCAGGCATGCCAGATCCAGCTTACCTGTCACCTTTTCTCCAACTTTTCCCTACCACCAACCACTCCTTTCCCGCTTGCATGGCCTTTCCTCCTACCCCTTTCACAATCCTCTGCCGTAACATTCACCTTACTTTAAGTTGATCATTTGTTTACATCTATTTTTTTTCTACTTCGAGGTCCTTAAAAGAAGGGATAAAATTTTATTCATCTTTAAATGCCTCCCTATGCCTCCAACCGCATGGCCACTCAAAAACTCTCTGCGAAATGAATTCATACATGACCAGGGCTTTACGACATCACCTTCTCTGTGCCTGTTTGTTTTTTCCCATTTACACAATGAAGATGGCATTGATGCATCTCTCAAGATAATTAGGTAGTTACATATGATTGCTACATGCTTCAAGACCATAAAAAAGCTTTATAAAGTCAACCACGATTACAACCTTTGAAACAATGGAATATACGATTAACAAGTGGAAAGAGATGAGGCATACCTGGTTATACTTATTGTCCATTCCCTATTTCTACCTCCACCCACCACCAGGTAGTAACTCAGAGGTAAAAACATAAACTTGGAATAAGAGAGGAGGGTTTACCTCGGGTCTGGATAAGATTATTAGGACGGATGTCATCACGCTGCCATCATGCAGAAAGGCACCTAAGTCTGATGAGAGAGGCCCAGGGCAAGACTCCCATATATACAGGTAATACCCAATTCACTGTTGAAATGAGGCTCAAATCAAGAAGGCACTTGGCCTTATCTATTCAAAATTGATTTGCCCTTCAAAAGCAGAAGATATCAGATGATTAGAAGAGGGACTGTTAAGGTAGAAAGACTGTCGAACTCTAGGCTACCCTGGCTCTCCTCTGTGGCCATTCTACCAAAAAAATAAAGAGAGGGTAGAGCATGTCTTCTTCACCTTTTGTTCTCCCTTCTCCTAAATGTACCATATAAAATGACTGGAAAACGTGTATCATATGTTGACTAAATGAAGCATTCATTTAGATTTTCCTCCCCAGCAATGTGTCAGGAAAAAAAAAAAAAATGATAGGAACATCTTATTTGGTTATTTTTATTGCAGGGCCTTAACAAGATTTTTGAAGCCAGAGGTGACTCATTAACCCAACTTTTCACAGCTGATGCCATCCATTGTAGAGCAAAACAGAATCAATAGTCAGATTGTTCCCAACTTGGCTGTGCCCGGCCGCAGAGGTCAGCAGTGGGCACGGAAAACTCTGTGAATTATAAGGAGGAGGAGGTAAAGGGGAAGCTCTGACAGAATGAGTGTGTAGCTCCAACCCAGCAGTGAACTCAACGAGTGGTTGAGCTCAACCAGTAATCATTTTGATGTGTTTGAAGAAATCAACCAGGTTCAAAAAAAAAAAAACTGCCTATATGTCTCCTGTTGGAAACATCAAATTATCTGGGAGTAGAGGATTTGTGGGTGGGCAATTGGAACTATGTGAGACGTCATTTCACATCACAGGTCTCTTGGCAGGAGGCAGAGAGGGCTTGGAACACGGACTTGTGGTCTGGAGCTTTTGCCAGTGGCTCCTGTTTCCCTAAAGAGCTCTGGATGTGGGAACAGGTCAACATTTTCCCACTTCTCAGCCATACCACTGTCAGTCAGCTCGGAATGTTTAATGCTTTGGCATAAAGAATGGGTGAGGTGGCCCCCATTACCTCCTTTCTTGACGTCAGTGAGGAGTCATTCCCTGTGGCTGCCTCTCTTATGTGAAATAATTCAGCATTTGTACTTCAATTAAAATTCACAGGTATATATTATTAAATAGCACTGACTCATTCCATGGCTTCTCCTCAGCTGAGGAAGTGCCAAAAATGTTATGATGTTGATGATGAAGAGTGCATTAAAAGTCTTAAGAGTGCATTAAAACTGAGATTTCCTTGTCAAACAATGTACACTCCGGGCTGTGAAGAAAGGCCTTCACACATTCACAGTATCACTCTGCCCTGTGTCAGCTTTTTCTAAAGAAGCAATTTAAGTTCAAGATTACTTTTGCCTTTGAGAGAGAGAAAAATGATACCGGACTAGAATCTTCTTCCCTTTTGTGAGGTCATAAAAGCAGCTCAAGGCTCAGGGTATGTCTTTTAAAACAGGGCTGAATCAAATTGAATAATCCAACTTGGATTGAATATATCACAGAGGAGAGAAGAGGAAGTACGCCAACACGCGTCCCTCAGCAGGAAAATAAAAGAGGAGGAAACGTTTTCTTGATTTTGGAAAATCAGACTTTTTATTCACATTTATTATTTTATATTTAGTATGCCTGGAAGCATGGCTGGGGAGCAACAACCCTGGTGAAGCCCAAAAGACTGTGCTTCTAGCTCAGACCTGGACACTCTGAGCCGAGTGACCCCAGGTAATCACCCCACTCCACTGCTCTCCATGTCCTCATCTGCAAAATGGACATCACAATCCACGCCCAGAATACCTCCTGGGGTTCCCAGTGTGTGAACACGCTCTGTGTTATAAGCATTCAAAACAATAATATAGGTGAAAATAAAAGCTTTGTGAGCTTCAGGCTTTTCACACAAGGGAAGGATCATCACCAAGACCAATGGTAATTCCTCAGATAACCCAGATGAGATGTACTATTCATGCACATTGGACTATTTAGCCTGGGCTGACTCAAGCATATTCAGCATTTTGTGAGGATTAGAAAAGACACCCTTTCTGGAAGGATATAGCCCTGCAGCTCCACAGATTGGTAAGAAGTACCATCTCTGGGCAAATAGAATAAGACATCCCTCCCACCAGCTGGACAAAGCCCTGTGCCAGGGTTCCAGCCCCCGTGTACACTCCTGCAGGCATTCTTGCATAACCGAGTTCAACAGTCCTGGCTTTAGCTCTGGCTCTGTTGCTCAAATTCTGTACCCATGGGATCATCTTTACCACCTCTAAGCCTCACTTTCTACCCAAAAAGAAAGATGAAATTGAATTGGGATTTCTATGCCTTCCTTCAGCTGTAAAAGCAACAAGAGTCCTAATGGGCTTTTCCATCCTTCTGCACAAGGGATTATGTACCATTCGAACTGCAATTTCTAAGCTTGACTTTTTTTTTAAGGCGTCTGATGACACTCCCTAAATATTTGAATGAAATTATGTGTGGTTTGATGTGGAGCAGATTAAGGAGTAAATGCTTTAGTATATACATGATGTTTCAGGTGTAAAGCAACATGGTTAACCGGCAAAACAAGAATAACTACCCTGTGTTGTCAGCAAATGGCACAAGATGTGGCTCTAACACAATGACATCTATTCGGCCTTCACCCACGTTCTGTGGGACTGAATGTAAGCATCAGTGAAGTCCCTGCCTCTCCCCTGGTGCCCACTGCACCCAGGAAGGGGGATCTTTAAGATGCCAAACAAGACCGTTTCTAAGTTGATGCCTCTTGCTGGCAGAAAACAGAAATCAGATCCTCACCCAGATCCTCCAATCAGCAAATCTGAGTGCCAACAAGCTCTCCACAGTGGCGGGACAAAGAGCAATCTACCTTTGCAAAGCTCAAGAACTTGTAGGCCTAAATTTCAGTTTAAGGTTTTAAAAATCAGGTTCACACATAAAAAACCCATTCACGGCCGGGCGCGGTAGCTCACACCCGTAATCCCAGCACTTTGGGAGGCTGAGGCAAGTGGATCACCTGAGGTTGGGAGTTCGATACCAGCCTAGCCAACAGAGTGAAACCCCCATCTCTACTAAAAATACAAAAATTAGCTGGGCATGGTGGTGTGCACCTGTAATCCCAGCTACTCAGGAGGCTGAGGCAGGAGAATCGCTTGAACCTGGGAGGTGGTGGAGGCTGCAGTGAGCCGAGATCGCGCCTCTGCTTGCTTTCCAGCCTGGGCGACAGCGAGACTCCGTCTCAAAAAAAAGGAAAAAAAAAAAAACCATTCACGACTCTCTAAATGTTAGCAGAAATAAATTTGGTTGTACTTGTGACTATTTCTAAAATTGGTTTTGGTTTTTTTTCTTTTTGCTTTTTGCTTTGTTTGTATTTTGAGTAGGAGGGAGGGCCTAGTTACAATCAATTATATTTTCAGAGAAGGGAACTAAAGTCTGGAAAGGGAAAGAGAGTAGCTCCATGTCATGCAGCAGGGCAGATTTGATAGGGCTGGAAGTATAATCCAATGCTCTTTCCACTTCCCCATGATTAAAATACAACCAGAAGGTTCAGTAAAAAACAGATGGCTCATACATCACTAACTCAGATTTTCAATTTCAATGGATGAATGTTATTAACCATTCACCAAGATTGTAAATGGCAGAAAGTAAATCTTCCCTCCAGCACCGCCAAGGCAGGTGATCTCCCAGAGGTGAATGACAAAGGCTCCCCCAGGTTAGAAGAACCCCAGCCCCCATGAACCATGCCTTTGTAGTGTCTTCCTTAGAAGTGCGACCCAGAACCAAGCATGCTCTGGATCAATATCCAGGTTGGTCGTCCTCTCTGTTCTTCAAGAACGGTGTCCCCACCTTTCCTGAGGCCACTGCACCAGCTACACTAGTCATGTCCCAATGTTGCCCCTAGGTGGTCCCAAAAGCTCCTGTGTAATTACAGAACCATTCTGTGATGATAAACCAAACATTTGGGAGAACAAAAATAAATGCTAGATATTAAAATGAGGCTCCCTTTATTAAACAAATAAGGCACAAGCACAAATCTGTGTGCTGGATAGCAGCAATGAGGAGGGGCCCCAAAATATAAGCAGATGACGGTTAAAATCAATCAGAAATTTATTTTTCTTATGTAAGTACAAAAAACCTCTTTTCATCAGTGGACCCCACTCGTAGGCAACCTGGCCATGGTGCCCGGATGCAGGCAGTATTCAAGATTTTCTTCCAAAGTCACCAGGGTGAAAAGTCATTCTACTTCAAAATCTACATGACCTTTTAAAGTGTACAACTTATAGGACAGTTCTTTTTGGAGTACTGTGGAGGGTGAATCGAAGCTTCCAGTGTAAGTTTATTGTCTGGTGAAAACACCAGAGCCAAAAATTCCACCAAGGCCCTGGAAAGCCTGGAGGCCCCTCTGTCTCATACAGTAATCATCCATGAGATCTCCCGGAGCCTGGGTGAGCATTACGCCCATGATACCTGAGGCAGCGCGGACTCTGCCAGGGGGTCCTCAGACCCAAAGTGGAGCTCACTTTGGAAAGTCAGAGCTCATGGCCGTTAGCACCTAAGAGGACGTGGCTGAAAGGCACAGACCAAGAAAGGGTTTCAGAGACCAGGCACATGTTAATTTTAAAACTGGAGCACACATGAGAGTTATAGTTTCACCACCAACAAGCTTATTCTCTCCGAGCTTTTGGATTTGCAACAAATTAATTGTGTGTGTGTGTGTGTATGTGTGTGTAAGGAGGTGAACTGGGCTTTGATAGATACATGAAATGATGAAAAACCAGGAAAGACAGCTGGGCGTGGTGGCATGTGCCTGTGGTCCCAGCTCCTTGGGAGGCTTGAAGGATCGCTTGAGCCTAAGAGTTTGAGGCTCCAGTGTGCTATGATCACACCACTGCCCTCTATCCTAGACAACATGGTATAGACCATGTCTTTGAGAAGAGAGAGAGGACAGAGAGAGAGAGAGAGTGAGAGAGAGAGAGAACCCAAAACAAGAAAGATAGATTAAGCAAGGCAACACAAGCATCCTTAGGAACAGAAGGGAGATCTGATGACTGACATTAACCTGTTAATTTATACCATGGCTCTGTACAAAAATAAAAAGATTCTCATAAGATTAACAATTTAAATAAATATTTGATAGAACATTCTTTCTCATTTTTATAGCTCATCTTTAGGGTTGATATTCAGTTCATGCTTCCCTTGCTGTTCTTGATCCAGGATTGCAATCACTTCATCAGCCTGTATTCGCTCCTGCAAAAAAGGCAATTTACACATTTCTGTTACAAGCATAATAATCAGTCTCATCAGCAGACGCTTCCCAAACCCTTCCTGGCATCCATCTGTACATGGGTTGATGCTAAATCCAGTTAAGCATTGAACACCTCCTCTTCATCCCCAGACGGATGCCTTCTCCTAACATTCCTAGGTCCTAAGCAATTACTTTCTAAGATTTCTCTCCTGCAAGAACTATTGTATGTTCAATTGCTTCCTACCCTTTCTACTTCATGGCCCCATAGCCATCTCCAACTCGGTTCAGTGGTCAAGCTGAATTTACCATTTTCTCCCCCAAGAACCTGCTCTGTTCTTCACATAGGCTCTCTCTCAGTAAAGACCAGCATTACTCACCTATTTGCCTTAAAAGCCTGACCATGGTTTCTTGCATCTGATAAGTTACCTGAGCTGAGTTCTATGTTCTATCTGCTGTCTCTGCCCCTTTCTCCTCAATGCCTTAAAAGCCTGACCATGGTTTCTTGCATCTGGTAAGTCACCTGAGCCGAGTTCTACTCCTGTGTTCTGTCTGCTGTCTCTGCCCCTTTCTCCTCAATGCACTATTGTTGCCGTAGTTTAGGTCAGGGTTTCTCAATTTTGGCCTGATTGACATTTTTAGACCAGATAATTATTTGTTGAGGGATGGGAGGGTGGTGCTGCCCTGTGTACTGCAGGATGCTCAGTGATATCCCTGTCCTCTCTACCTACTACAGGTAGTCAGTAATAACCTCCCCCATCAACCCCCAGATATTGCCAAATGTCCACTAGAGGTCACAATTGCTCCTTTTTTCTTCTTTTTTTTCTTTGAGATGGAATTTTGCTCTTGTTGCCCAGGCTGGAGTGCAGTGACGCGATCTTGGCTCACTGCAACCTCTGCCTCCTGGGTTCAAGCGATTATCCTGCCTCAGCCTCCCAAGTAGCTGGGATTACAGGCGCCCACCACCATGCCCGGCTGATTTTTTATATTTTTAGGAGAGATGGGTTTTCACCATGTTGGTCAGGCTGGTCTCAAACTCCCGACCTCAGGTGATCCACCCTCCTCGACCTCCCAAAGTGCTGGGATTACAGGAGTGAGCCACCACGCCCGGCCAATCGCTCCCTCTTGAGAGCCACCGTTGTAAGCCCTCATCATCTCTTAATTACTGCCGCAGCCTCCAAATTGCTCTCCCTGTTTCACTACTCACCCTCACATGCTTCTAATGAATCCTACTGGCTTAAATCTGATTATATCTCTTTCCTGCCCACAGTTCTTCAATGGGTCCCTATTGCTTGCAGTTCCAGGTCTACTTTTCTTGGTGTGCTTATAAGAAGTCGCCTTATGCCTGTCTTTTATTCATACCTTGCTCTCTTCTTTAGCTTTATTTTATCTTCTTTCTCCTCACCTTATATTCCAACTTCTTAACTTACCTCAAGCTCCCTGAATGTAACACTTTCAAAAGAATTCCCTAATCTGATTCATGAATTAAGTGTTTCTCTGGATGTTCCCATTATATTCTACACTTCCTTTTATTCCTCACATTAATCCATCAGCAGGTCCAGTTGGTCTACCTCCAAATCGTATCTCAAACCTTCCATCTCTTTTTACTTTCTCTATTACTCCTCCAGTCTAAGCCCATATGTTAGCTAAAGTAATCTTCTGTATCCTGTAACTCTCCAGGACTGGAGGAGATGTGCGTGTGTGCTGGGGTTGGGGGACTGCAATGACTTTCCACTACTTAAAATAAAGTTCACACTTCCTAATACGTCTGTGGAATCTGGCTCCTGCCTCCTCCATGTCCTCTATTCATGCCACTCTCCCTCTTGTCTGCCATATTCCAGATGCTCTGACTTCCTTTGTTTCTTGGCGACTCCAAACATCTTATCGTCTCTGTGCCTTTGCAGCTTGTCCTCTGCCTGGGATACTCTCCTCCAGACATTTATCTTAGTGGACGTCTCCTGTCTTACGTTTCGGCTCACATGCCACTTGTTTGGCGAGGCCTCACAATTTGCCGCTCCGACCCTTTCACTCCAAAATTAGTTGTCTTGTTCCATTTTCCACACATCATTGGTCACTATCTGAAAATTTCTCGATTCTTTATTTATTTATTTTACTTTTTGGGGATCTGTTTCCTTCCACTAGAATGTAGGCTCGAGAAGAGCAGGGCATCTTCTTGGTCACTGCTGTATTTTCAGTGCTCGGAAAAGCCACTGATGTTTGGCAAGATTTCTATTTTCTTTGACGAGTAAATGTATAAATGGATGAAGCCTTTCTCTGTCTAAAATGCCTCTCCCTAAAGAAATTGATCTTTTAAAGCTTTTGTTCAAATGTCATCTCCTCAAAGAAGTCTTTTTGGATTGCTTTTTTTATATCTCTCAAACCATGCATTTGCTGCTAAGGATTCTTACCAAACCTTGCCTTGTGATTTAATTAGTTGGGTCCTTGTATTATTTCCCCAATTTGACTTCAAGCTCCTTGAAAATAGGACTTATAGGCCAGACGCGGTGGCTCAGCTTGTAATCCCAGCACTTTGGGAGGCTGAGGTGGGCGGATCAC